AATAATTCTAAAGCTATGAAATAATTTATAACTTAAAAATCTATCATCATAAATATACTACAAAACAACTTGATTTCTTTTATTAAAAAAAATTGTCTATCAACAAGCCTGTATAAAATACTTAAATATTTTTATTTTAAAATTTAAAAATTTTAAAAGTATTTTAATTATTTATTACTCTAAATTTTTACAGTTTTATCAGGCTGGAAAAGTAAAATTTGGACATTTCTATTTTTTTTTCTAAAAACAATTCGAAAAAATGTTCTAGAACATTCAATAGGTATATAAGTAATAAGGATGCATTTCATTGGAAATAGATGTGTGAGGATGGAGGCTCTTTTGTGAGTTTTAAACTCAAAACAAAAATTTTTATTATTTATCATTATTTCCCTTATTCCTCCAGTTTCGTTTTTTTGGGAGGTTGAACCTAGACCTTTGCCCCATCAGTTTATGGCATCACTTCGAAAGGTGACCTTCTAGACTTTCAAAGACAGTTAGGATGACAGATAAAGTTCTCCCCTCACAACAGGGGATTATTCATTTCCATCTTTTGTTTTGATGTACAAATAAGTAGCCAATTAATGAGAACCTCAATGAAAACCTCAAATGAGAACTTAATGAGAAACTTACATGATAGAGGGTAACAAAAAGGTTACTGACAAGGGCAGACCAAACCAAACAAAACCCCCCCTTTCTATTCTGTTCGATGTGAACAATGAGAAAACAGATCAAGATGACCATAAAAGGCAACAATCATTACTAAGGTACAAGACCTTAGTCACCTTCAGCAATTAATTCTGTTAGTTTGACAACTGTTATCAAATTTATGAGGGAAAAAGTGACAATACTGGATGGAAGAAGTAATAAATCTACAGAAAGATTTGGATGTTTGACAACTAACATGAACAACCCTGGACAAGTCGAAATTACATGGAATTGCATCAGAATGTTCTCCGATTTTCTTCCCCCTCTGAGGTGGGTATAAAATAGGCAGGGACACAGTTCTCGGGGTGGACATCACCGGCAGACATTGACTGGGACACCAGACCCATACTGCCATTCCATCCGTCATAACCCTTGCCTTCCCGCCAAAATAACTGTCCGTCTCCTGATGAGCCAGATCCGAGGAGAAGGATGACTACGATTAAAGTCAGCCGATCTGGGGACAGTTCAACGACAACCCATACTACAAGATCAGGGACAAAGAGGTAACTCTTGAAAATTCTCAACTCTCTCTCTGTTGGAGATTGAACTTAGGCTAGTTGAACTTAGAAGATATTGTGCCTTATAGAGGCTAGATATTAGGCGACTTATTGACAACCGTATGTTCTTTGTCGTGATATAGAAATATTTTTGGATTATTCCCTTTTTGTAGCCTTTTGATTTGTATTTGTTTGTATAGCTTTAGATAATTAAATATGTTATTCTTATATATATAACTATGTGTCATCCTTGAGTACGACTGACACCTCATCATGATCTTGCTCACTCTCCTATTTGTTAACACATCGACCATTCCTAACAAAGAAGCCGATAAGTGGGAAGAAGCTCGGCGCTCTACCCCCTCGGTTCTCACATATGCATCAGCACTGTCCTACAATATGAAACTTTTGAAAAAACACATTCACATGCTGTTGCTCTAATCACTTCAAAAGTAGTCACAATGTGACTAAGGATCATGATCTCATCTGCAAAGAATTTGGCAAGGACACAGTCAACAGACACCCACTACAGTTGGTTCAAGAAATTCAAGGGAGATTTCTCGCTTCAAGATGAACCCCATCCAGGCAGTGATTATACCATTGATGACAATGTTTCCCTGCAACTGACAAGACAATAATCCACAGTTAACCACCATAGAATTAGCATGAATTGAGTGTTCCCATACACTCTAAAACTCAACAAAGTTTGATACCACTATGACAATGCACCAGCACATGCAATGCAGAACAAAGATGACCTTAGAGACGCTAGCCAGTTTGGGTTGAAGATTCTGTCTTATCCAACTTATAGCTCAGATTTGGTGCCAACTGATTATCATCTATTTCAAACCCTGCAGAACCATGTTGCCAATATACAGTTCAATGATTCAATGTCAATACCCATGTGAAAATGACACACAAAGATCGTCTTCAAAAAAAAAAAACCATCATTCTATGTTCATAGAATTGAAAGTTTGCAGCAAAAGTGGTAAGATCTGATTGAAACTGGTGATGATTACCTACCAGGCTGAATTGTAATCATTGCTGAGTTAATAAGCTTTTCACAAAATGTCTAAATTTAACCTTAACAATCATATTTTTATTTAAATAAAAAGATAAAATTTACAGTTTTGTCATATTTACTTTTATAAACATTAGTTTTGTAACACTTTTCCATCAGTTTATATAAAAAAGATTTTTTTATTTGTTATTTCCAGATTTTAATAATTAAAAAACTGCATTTCCCCTGTAATAGAAGTGTAATCCCTATTACAATAAATAAAGATTTGAAACTGAAATTAGCTTTTGTAGAAAACATCTTTAAAATCCTTTTCACTCATTTACTCTATTGTAATTTGTTATGAACTTTGTTCTTTTCTTAAAAATAAAATATCTCCAAAGAATTGCACATTAATTAATAACTTAAATTTATTATTTAAACATTCAATAACTCATTAGTAGTATCATTCAGAGAATTACAGAATAGAAGGTACAAAAAGTTGGATAGAGAAAGTATTTTATTTTAGATTGAACATATTTTATTTTTCTTCTCAGTTTAAATCTTATGAGGACAAAACAGAAGTTCTTTGAAATTCAATAAATGTTTCTATGACAGAAATATAACAAAAATCTTTGAAATATGCAATTTCAAAAAAGAAATTTGTTTTTCTAATATAAAGAAATGAATATTAGTTATTTAAAATTTTTTAAGCGAAATCACACATTAAAATATTTTGAAATTATATATGAATTTAAATTTTACTAAACATAAAATAAAAGTTTAATAAAATGATTTTATTATTAAAGATTTTTGTTTTAAATATTTTGAAAACATGTAAATTCTTCATTGTTTTGAGAAAGTATGTATAATGTGTCACAAATTTTCATTATAAGAATTATTTCTTTTGCTAATATTCTGTGCAAGAAATATTTAAGAGTTTAAATATATTCTAAAAACACTTTAAACTGGATTGAAATCTTATATTCACCCACAAGACACCCTTTATCAACAGGTTCATACTGGGCTTCATAAAAGTGAAACCTTCTCCTTAAAAGTGACCTCTCCTCATAAAAGTGAAACCTTCTCAATTATTTCAAATGCATTTTGGGTTCCACAAGTCTGATGCCCTTCTTCAGTCTTCAAATGGAAATAAACGTATTTTCTATAATTTTCTAACAAAAATCAGGAAAAACACCAAGTATTACCTGAATGAACACTTTAAAATAGCCACTTACACACTTTAACATAAAATCCATCAATCAACAATCCTCTGGCATCACTGGCCATAAAACAGTCGTAAATTTTAAGCCTTTAAAACTCCTATCTTTCAACTTTCTCATTTACATTTTCCTAAATTTTTATTGGATTATAATGCAAAGCCATTACGTTTTTGTACTAATTCCTGTCTAAATTAATATCATTGTCCATTCTGTTTTTGCATTTTAATATTTTGTCATCTTCCAATACTTATCTTTATAATTCATATTTTTCTTTCTTTGTTACTATTGATACCTTTTTTCTATAGACTGGAAGGAAAGTAGCTAGGAATTGAGAAATTGATATAATTTCTATATTTTTAATGCAATTATGATGAAAATTATTTGACCTATACCCCTTAATAAATGGAAATATTGATGCACACCTTAAAATTCAATGCAGGCATTGGTGCTATCCATCAACTATTTTCCTCAAATTGTGACGTGGCTGGATGGTCACTTCTGTGTGTCTGCAACCAAACCTGTGGTCATGTTAGCTTCAAATGACAATTCTTGATCGTTTACAGACAGATTGTAGTATGATGTCTCTTCACCAAATGCCACCATCTCTGCACAGCAACTACTAATTTACACACCTCACTGTGCAGCAATCTGCACTCAATCCTGAACAGACATGAGTGGTCAGCCATCTTTCTTTTTTTGCCACAATGCATGCAATCCCTCTTGGTCACTGTCCATACTGTCAATGCAGGAATTATAAAATTCCATTGATTGATTACATGTGCGCGCACACATTTTCTTATGATTGAATTATTCTTACAAAAATTATAGTAATTTCTCAATGCCTAGTTACTTCCCATCCACCCTATATATTAAACCATTCTCTATTACAATGAAGTGCTATACCAAAATTCTCATACAGTAGAACCTCGATTATCCGCCCCCAGATCAACCGACCCCTTGGTTAACCGACCGTCCTAGTCGGCAAATTTCAAATGTCCGCTAGTGATGTGGCGCTACAATATTTGGCTATGTCTTGGCTACTTTAATATTATTTTTACGTGTTTTAGCTGGCAACACTCATTCAACCATGAAAGAGAGCCAGTATTTAAACGAAGCTTAATTTTCTAATTTTAACGATACAATAGCGACGATTATTATTTTAAAAAATTTTTGTTAGGCTTAACATCGATGAAAATTCAACGCAAAATAGGTTAATAGCGATATACTAATATACTAATTACATGGGATATAATAATATACTACACTAATAATGGATTTTTTCATACTTTTCGGTTATCCGACTTTTCAATTATCTGACCAACCCCAGTCCCCAATTAGGGCGGATAATCGAGGTTCTACTGTAATTGTTTTTAATAACCTTTACATATCCTTTAACTTTTTTTTTTTATATTTTCTAATTAACCCACAATATATTTGAAGTGACAAGATAGATCCAACTTTTACAAACATCATGATAAAGGACATCTTGTAAATGATAGACTACAATCCATTTTAAAATATTTTTAGATAATAGAAATGAATACTTCATAACTGAGGTTCAGAATTAAATATATTCACCTGTATTTGATGAAGTAGCTTCTGCTAAGGCAGCCAAAGTTGCTAAAACAGAAGTACTACTTTGATCAGAAACATCATCTAAAATATATAATAAAAATGATTTTAATATTGAAAATCAAATTTCTTTCTATATTATAATTATCCTAAATTATTTCTAATTATAAAATGTACAAAATGTCTCATATAGTTAAATTTTAAATTCTATAGAAACAAATATTATTTACCTTCTTCTACTTCAGTTTTCGGTGTATTACCAATAGCAGAAGCTGCGGCTGCAGCAACAGCAGCTTTCTGTATGTGAGCAAGATTAGCATGAAGAAAGATGGGCCTATTGCTCTTTCCTAAAGAACACATGGGTGAAGATGTAAATGATATACCACTCTGACTACTAGGAATATTTGTTGTGTTGGTCAGTTTAGCTATTGGTACTTTTACATCATTATTCGAAAAAGTTTTAGTTGTTCCCGCACAACTTGGTTTGATTTCTTCTTTTATTTTAGGCTTGTTATTTACATATTCCTAATAAAAATAATGAGTTATATAAAAATTAATGATAAAATTCATTTAAAATAATCAGTATTTTATATAAACTTTACTGAAATTAAATTTCCAATCTATATTATCCAATAAAACTTTTAAATAGTATTTAGCAACTTAATAAATCAGCCAATTAAATTGTTACTATACCTGTAAAAGCTGTATCAAATCATTTCTGTTATTATCTATGGCAATGTCAATAGGAGTTTTGTCAAATTTGTTAGAAATGTTTACATCAGCACCATGCCGTAAAAGACTATGAATGACGGATATATTGCCACGTTCCACAGCCCAATGAAGGGGTGTCATTTTTAACTAGAAAATAAATTACATTAGAACAATTATATATGTATTTAACTATATTATTTCATATATGTAATATTTAGTAATAATAATTCAAAATTAACATAAGAAAAAATTTTACTGATAAATTAAATTAATTATGCAACATTTTTCAGAGATTAATATTAATATTTTACAAAAAGATACTTTTTTTATTTAATAAAACATAACATTTGAGAAAAATCAAATCCAAAGTTTTATATCTTTTTCAGTTTGTTAATCAATATACAACTTATAATTTCAAATTATCAAGACATTTTCTAAACTTTGACATTTCCAATGTCATTTATGAGAAACAAATTGGACTTCCAATTGCATTTTTATACATTATACACAAAAAAGAGTCTACTACTGTTGTATAATTATATGAAGAACATAAAATACCTACTGATTTTACTGATTATATCAGATTAGTAATTTAAAAAATTAAATATAAGTCAAAAATATCCTCCACTATAAAAGCGATTTACAATAGTAAATAAAAATGATGACAATCATTCAATAAATATTGGATCATCTACACTCAGTACATTTATTTAATCATTATATGGATCAGGAACAATCTCTTTATCAATGGATTGTGTTTTTGATAGTTAATTGCAAAAACAACATAACAGTATATTCATAATAACTGTTTTTTAGAATTTGAAAATGAATAAAGATTTTTTCAATTTTACCAAATTCTATCCAATAATAGTTTTAGATTTGCATTATTTTATAACAATACTTTTGGATCGTTTGAAATTTGTAAATTTAAAATATAATGATAACAATAAGTAAAAAGCAACAAGTACAATGCTATGAATAGCTTTTAAATTTGCTTAATTCAACTATTTCAATCAGAAAATTATTTATCACCATTTATTGCAAAAAACATTATTATTAACCTTCAATTAGTCAAACACACAACTATACAAAAATATTTAGGCACATATGAACACAGTGATACCCCGAACTTACGCGATAGGTGGGACCGAGTGATAACCGCGTAAGTCGAATTCATGTAAGTTGGGGTATAATTTCGCAATTTGTGTAAAACCCAAGTCGGATGTATGTAAGCTAATAAATGTTCTCGTTAATCTTATCTCGTCTTTTGATTCGTTCACGGTTAGAAAAAATCACCACATAGAGTCTCTCGAGTCTCCGTAGATATAACAAACACAGAAATAAATAACACAAAATAAATTGTGGCTATGTGTTGATTCCGCACGACATGTCTGAACATGTAAGCCGAACAATAGTGTGGGGGAATTGAGTAACCGAGAGTTGCTTGGCGCTCAAACAAAAGACGAATCGACGAGATTTGAAAATCGCGTAACTCTGTGTTTGCGTAAGTTGGGGTATTACTGTATATAAATGTTGAGAATAAATCCACACATAACACAATGAGACAACTTACAATTTGTTTACATTAATTACAAACTGGTTTGATTTTTGATTAAATCACAAATGAAAAACTGAACAGAAAGAAAAAAGTTACAATATTTTCAAATTTGTTCTCTGTTAGATTTCTGCCAAACTGAAGATGAAAAAACCATAGGTTGTGTAATTCAGTTTCAATTGTATTTTCAGGTAACATAGAGCCTAGGCCTTAGGCTTTAGTTTGAACTTTGAACTCTGTGTTAACTTGTGTTATTTCAAAAAACTGTCTCCTAACAGTTCTCATTTGGATGTTATATATAAAATTTAGGAACATAAAAACTATTTAATTGTAATTTTTTAAAAGTGTGTTTTGTTTCTTATTGTAATTGTGGTCCGAAGCCTGTGTGTCCTTACATTGTCTAACCATATAGATGACTATAAATTTATTTTATTACATGATTGTATTATATTATTATTATATATAAGATATTATTATTATTGTGACCATATCCACAGATCTAACCAATTCAAAACAACATTTAATACTCAAAACAGCAACTAAACAGTATTTAGTACTCAAAACTGAATTAAGTGTGCAGTCAAAGTATATTCTAAACCAATAGACCATGAGATATGTTAGAAAAATATTTTTAAAAATTTTGTCTATTTGTAATTTTTAAGAAAATGAACACAATATCATTTATGAATAAAAGTTTTTATGTATAAAAAATTCAATACCATGTCTTTTGCTTCAATATCAGCACCATGTCGTAAAAGTAACTCAACAATTTCAACATGTCCTTCTTGTCCAGCAACATGAAGAGGAGTACGATCAACTTTTGTTCTAGCGTCCCTGCTGATTCCTGCTCTCAACAGTACTTCAGCTGTTGCTAGATGGCCATACTGAGCTGCCATATGCAAAGGCGACGTTCCCAACTATAAATATTTTAAAATAAAATGTTTATATATTGCAAGTATATATAAAAACATTTTTGTTCTAAATTAGATTATCATCAGCTTTACTAGCAGTGGTTAGAATGTAAAGCATGTTATAAAATCAAATTCAAGATCAAATACATTTACACAACCAAAGTCAAAAGACTGTGACACATGCATGGTATGCAATAAACACAAAATTCTGTGTATTATACTTACTAGTGTGATATTGTAAATGTAGACAAAATTATAGGCAGAAAAAGGCAAAACACAACTAGTTATACAAAAGCACTCTTAAGGGCAATTTATGGATTTATTTCAATCTGTTGCATCGTTTTTTAATTAGTTCCTCTCAACCCCATATGCTTAGGGCGTATTGTCCATCTAGTATCAGCGATCAAATATACATATATATGCAAATGAAGAACACTAGGAAATACTGGAATCTTCCCAGAGTTCTATTTTTGCTGAAAGGTACTGTAGACAATAAAGAACAGAAAATGGAATTGTTACTGTGCAAACAGTACATAATCATGTCCCAAAGAAGATGTTTACAGGAAGGCTTCACAAGACTGGACTCTACACCTGGCAATTGGCATATGTGTGCCTTTAACCTCCAGACATAGACAGGTCTGCATGAAGTGATGTCAGGAGCATGTAGGCTGGACTCAACAATGGGCTCATGTCCTGTTCACAAATGAGTCTAGTTTCTCCCTGGAATCTGATAGCAGATGTGTATTGATCTGGAGGAAAGTTGGAGCCCATTACAAACCACAAAACATAGCAGAAAGACATGCTTTTAATGAATGTCTGGGCTGGGTTTTCATTAGGTGGATGCACCAACCTCCATGTGTTTGATGGAGGTACCATTACTTCTCACAGGTATTGAGATGAGATACTGGACACTATGTTAAACCTAATACTGGTGCAATGGAAAAAAATTTCATTTTAATGGATAATAATTTATCGTCCACATCGAGAGAGACTGGTTGACCAATACCTTTATGAAGAAGAAATAGAACAAATGGAATGGTTTGCATATTTTCCAGATCTCAAAGCCATAGAACAGTGGTTCCGAAAGTGGGTGCTATCGTCCCTCTCTGGGCAGTGAGTAAATCTGGAGGGCAAAAAGAAGCAAGTGGGCAGCACAGGGATGCTGGAGGCAGGGTACTGAACGGTGACCATAGGCAAGGGTTGGTGTCACTGACAACCCTTACCTTTCCTCTTTTAAAACAGGTAAAAAGAAACATTGCAATTAATGATTTCCAGATGCTGACAACAATGTATGGTAGCTGCTATTTGCCTTAATGACTTGCCAGATCCATGCAATAAATATATTTCACAAATTTCTTGTTCTGTTGGACTGCAACCACAATGCGTTGTTTAAACTCCTTTCAAAATTTCTGAACACTGTTTAAATTGCCACCATATTTGATTTCAAAACTATTACTGCCCTCTATTGTTAATAATAAGAAGAGCAATTTAAATTATTATACACTTTTAGTCATTTTTAAGCATATGTTTACAGTCAAAAATTAAAAAATTGAAATAAATTTTAAACTTGTAATAATTTTAATATAAAAATTTATCAAAATGTATTAAATTATATTTAAAAGCTGTAGCTATAAGTAACTTTTATATGTTTTTAACCTAAAATTAAAAAAGCTTCAAAAACAGGTATGTTTATACTTTTTTTGTGGACTGTACATAGGAACTAATACAATTGGATGTTTTAGAAACTTTTGTTCAATAACAGGTACCCAATACAAATATGATGAGATCCAAAAAAAATTACCATTGTGTCATCCAATTTAGTCACCCTTGGTGACAGATGGACCTCTAAGCATGTAGGGTTGGGAGAAAATAATTAAAAAATAAATTCACATATTGCCCTTAAAAGCACTTTTGTATAACTAGGTATACTTTATCTTTTGCTGACTATAATTTTGTATGCAGTAACATTATCACACTGGCAAGTATGATAGATATGCATGTGGTATTTTTTGCATAAGACACATGCATCACTGTCTGTTGATTTTGATTGTTTAATTAAATGCTTTGATCTTGAATTCAAGTTTAGAATGCTCTTCACATTTTAACCACTAATAGTAAGGCTGACGAAGTCATCAGCCTTACTATTTTAGAACAAAAACAACTCTATTTTTTTATAAATGTTTTGATTTCCTGAAAAAGCAATAATTAAGGATAATTTGTGAATATAGTGGCAAATGTCTGGAACTTATTCCATGCACACGGATATCTTCTCTCTACTCAATAGTACAAATAACAAAAATTTATCTTTACTTATTATTCTTAATATCTATATATTATAATATTTATACTAACCCAATCTGTTGTAAAAGGAGCACCATTCGTCATTAATTGTCTTACTTCTTCTGTCTCTCCAAGCCTAGCTGATTCAAGAAGACGTTTGCCTAAGTCCACAAGGGACATGGCAGAATTTTCAGGTGGCTATAAAAAAAAAAAAATTCTTAAATAACCATATCACATTTTTAAAATTAAATTATTCTATACTGATTGATTTAAATACAGTAGAGCGTCGATTTTCCGAAAGTCAATCATCCGAAAGAATTACAGTCGGCAAATTTAAATTTCCGCCAGTGCTGTGGCGCTTCAATCTTTGGCTATGTCTTGGGCTACTCAAATATTTTACGTTTTTGATACTAAATTAACATCTGAAGTATAATTTTTTATTATTTTTATATTTTTCAATATATTTATTTTGTTTGTACAAAATAAAAAAATAATTTTTAACGATACAATAGTCTTTGTTACACTTAACATCGACGAAAATTCAACGCGAAGCGACACGCAACGGAGAAAAATTTAGACATCGGATACATTAAACTATTTTTTCGTACGTAAATCAGTTATCCAGACAACCCCAGTCCCCAATTGATTCGGAAAATCGACACTCTACTGTATATTAATTTTTGTAATGAAATATTATGGTTTTGTTACAGTAATATAGTCAAATTTAAAACAAAGATTACTGCTGTATAATAATATCAGTAATAATACTTTAAAATAGATGCATTTTACATCATGTTTCAAATAAATACAAAATTATTCATTTTGTCTAGTAACTACAAGAAAAATTTAACTTATATTTCATTTATATTTAAAACGTGATTTAAAATTAAAATGTTGCTAGATTTTTTGCACCATAATTTCATTAAATTTTTTAATTAATTATTATTATAACTTGTAAACAAGTAAGCAATATTGTAATGTTGTATGAAAGGAACTTTATTAACTTTATTAAAGGAACTTTATTAATGCTGAACTCAGTGAATTTGTATCCATAAGTTGTATGAAAGTTAAATTAATTTACAAATTATCGTATTCACATAAAAATAACTCACACCTGATTTTTAAACCACACTTCCAGAAAAATAGTTTAATGTAGATAAAATACAAACATTTTTTATCTACACAGATCTTAAGGCTAATATGTTCCAAAATGGAATGAATTTAAAATTATTTTAAAATGTTCAAATACATAAATAATGCACAATTGTGCATAATGTGATACAAAATAACAAATTCTGTAAAATAAAAGTATAAATCAGAATTTACAAAATTGTTTAGATCATCTGTCATTGCAAAAGCTCTTTTCAGATTTGTATCTGGATCTTGAGAACCTCTAGTGTCCTGATTTGGTTGTTATGTTTAGATTGTCATATAATGGAAGCTTGTCCAGGTAGGTTTAAACATTGTTGTCTGTGGTGTACCTGGCTAGGGTGGTGCTGTATTTTCTTTTATCAATACCATACCTATGTTCCATACATAAGCCTAATTAGAATCTGTAAACTTCCATAGAATCCTATAAACTCCTTGTATCCTAAGCATGTTGGTGTTGCCTTTCCATTTCTGAGGATAATATATATAACTTCTCCATGCACACCGGGATGTGTATAATAAATAAATTGTATTTTTTGTATTTCTTCACACCAGTTAAAGGCTCGAGTAAGTAGGTTTTATTTATTTATGATATTATATATAATGGGGAACACCCTTTATAAGTTAATCTATCACTTTCCAGATGAGTAATTTCTTTATATAAGCTTATCATGTTGTAAGCATATATCATAAACCTGTGGGCACTATGAGTGTCTATATTTGCTACGTATTGCAAGCTCAGCAAGACCCACAATGAGGAAAGCCAGATGTGCCAATTATCATTGACATTCACATGGACATACATCAGGAAGTTATCATGTTTTCTATTTTTGCTAATATAAGCCACAACCCAACTTCAGATCCTTAAAATTCATTAAAAAAGTGTGACTCACTTTTATGTAAATACAGTAACTTTTAAACCTAATTTGAGACAACAAAATTACTATTAACACAGGGGTGCACAACCTGCGGCCTGCGGGCCACATACGGCCCCCCTATCAATGTTTATGCGGCCCGCGGACGGTACAGGCCAAATACCTTCTTTCGAAGTTTCTAAGTGTAGAACTTTTTCCCTTTCACAAAGTCATTAGCACCCAACTGTTTTATGACTTTCCCTGAGGTGAGAAATGGGGGATTGTTCTATAAATAAGTCTATTTTTAGCTAACACTTTCTGCTTTAGATATCGAATACCTATTTTAAAATGATGTTAGAACGTCATTTCCGATGTTATCGGGAAGTTTCTATTTTGGCGGGAAATCTTCAATTTTATGCTTNTGTCATGGCAAGTGGCCTTTGGTAAAGAAAGAACATGAGTCATTAAACAAGTAATTATTTCACAAAAACTCACACCTTTATAAATCCAGCAATGAATTTAATAAAAGTAAAATTTTTGATCAGTTTCACTGATCTTCTTCAGTTATAGAATATAAAGAAAGGGAAAAATAAAAGAATGTAAATACAAATTTATGTTCTTTTATTTTTCCATTACTTTATATTCTGTAACTGGAGATCAGTGAAATTGATCAAAAACATTTTTATTTTTATTAAATTCATTACTGATTTATAAAGGTGTAAGTTTTTGTAAACTATTTCCTCCAGTTATTCTCGAATTTCATAGAGCAATTATTTATTGATACATTGCTACAATGCCTGGCTGAAATTTTTAATCATGTTTTTAATTTGTTTAATTTAAAATATATGCTATTCACCTCAAATTAGTACTGTATAGTGTCTTGCCCCTGAACATCATACTTTTCTATTAGCAATGGAGCTGTGCCAGTCATCTAATTAACTCCTTTCAGGGGAAAATTTTTGAATTGAAATAACATGACTTCTATCAATAGTGTGCATCAGAAGTTTATATATAGTTAATCAGGACTTCCTGCCCTTAAACTTTCCATATATGGTCTGTAATTTCATTTATGTAATACCGTTCTTGAGATTAAGGAAAGACAGACAACAGTGAGAATTTAGAGGTCAAATTGCAGCCTAATAATAATAATAACTACAGCTATGGTGTTTTAATTACATTTTGTTACTGGATAACAGTTTTAAACAAAATGCAATTATTTTTGTTAGATATTGGATAATATAATATTCTTCCATATATTACAATTCACTTATTAGTACGTTTTCTTTAAAATGTATAAAAACTGTAATTTGTTTCTATTCTTGTCAATCTTACGTTATATGATGTTTTTTTACAAATAATCTAAAAACTTATGTAAATCTCTGAATATTAGAAACATATATTTTTTATCTTAAATAATTTAAATTTTTTTATTCTTAGCAAGATATATTACCAGATATAAATTCACTAAAAATAATTGCATTTTAGTATAAAATTAAAAGTAATAGGAAAATAATTAAACAATAAAGCTACATTTATAAAATTATTTTTAGACTAATTTGTTTTATGGATGCAACAGAGCTTGCATATCAAATTATATAATATATAAGACATATAAAGCATACATTTTGTTAATTTCATATTAAATTCTAATGCATAAAACTTAATGTGAATTATTTATATTAATATTTATGCTTTAAATTTTAGTTGGATATATATGGAGAAGTATAGCAACTCAAAATCTAATACAGTGATGTAAGATAATTTAAAAAGATACGCACATTGTAGCAATATAAAAGATACAATAATAGAAATCAAATACTTAGAGAAAAAGTACATCAACAATTTACATTACTTAAATGTATCTAAAACATATTAACGCATTACTGCTATATTATTTTTACTATATTTGCAATTCTAAATTTTTCTTTCAAAAATTAAATATTTTTTAAACTTTATAATGCATCTTAAAATATATATTTCAATCACAATTTAGAATTAAAAAAAATCATTCAAATTGATGTTTTAATTTTCAATACATATTTTTGAAAATATTTATAAGTCAAATAAATCAACTGATTGATTAACCATTATCTGAAATGTTTGTCATTAATATTTACAAAAGATCCTTTTTTGATGTAGAGAAAATCATAGATTCTTTAGTAGTAGTTTGGTTTTATGATGTCATCACTTCAGCTGTGGATATTAATCATTTATCTGGAATCAATTTTTTTCCTCTATTTATATACTTTCTCTACATTTACTGTGTATATGAATAATTTAGAAAGTAATACATTAATTTTTTTTATTCATTTCTGTTTTTTAAAAAGTTTGTTTTAATTTTTTGTATTTAAGGAAAGATTATAATATCCAAACTGCTTAAACTATATAATCATATTGAATATTTTATTTTTTTAATATTTAAATCAATTAAAGTATGAATGTTTTTAAACATCTTTCTTCATATAATTGATAAATACTAAATACTAAAAACCATTTGGTTATTATTAAAGTTATTTAAAATTAAGCTATGGAAAACATTGCTTTAAATTTTGAATTATAATTGAAGATGGCAATAAACTATTTGAATATAACTATGTAATTTAATTTATACCAATAAACGTCTCTTAATATATCTTTGTAACTAATTGCTATATTTTCGAGCATATGCATATGTGAATTGTATAACAGATAGAATTTCATCAGAGATACAAAATGACAAAGTTCAATTTATTTGTCAAGTTTACATCTACATGTGATTCATTTTATATTGTAAGATATTACAATATTTAATTCTATAATTATGCAAATTAAATAGCAATTTTTAATTAAAAAACTATTTATTTATTCATATATTTTTTTAAGAATTGTATGGTACACCTTTGATTATGATACCCTGAACAATTTATAACATCTTTCAGCACTATTCAATCATCATATTTGTTCATTCTAAGTATTCACATTTAATAAAGCAAAAATAATTAAAGTATTATCATTTTTTAAACAAACTTCATAAAATAGTAATTACTCAAATATTTGAAATTATACTATATCCCACAAGCAATGTACTGTCATGGCAAGTGGCCTTTGGTAAAGAAAGAACATGAGTCATTAAACAAGTAATTATTTCACAAAAACTCACACCTTTATAAATCCAGCAATGAATTTAATAAAAGTAAAATTTTTGATCAGTTTCAC